AGAGGTTCTTAGAAACTATGGGAACAAACAAAACAAGAACCAATCGCCCAACAAATATGCAGGAGAAAGTGGAGATGGATTGAACACTCGCTGAGCTGAGGAGGCCGCTGGGTGACATCGCACGTCAGGCCATAGCTCGAGTGGAACCCGAAGGGGAAGCGGCGAGTGGGACGTCAATGCTAGGGTGACATGGAGGAGATCGTGTGAAGAGGAATTGAAACAGTATGGACTAACATGGTTGGAGGTGAAAAGTACAGCAGAAGACAGAAGCAAGTGGAGACATGCTCATGAAGCCCTATGTTCCACTAGGAACCCAAGGGAACAATAATAATAATAATAATCCTAGAGGTTCGATATAACTCAAATTGTCTGTGAAATAATCTGGTTATGAGTAAGACATTCAATATCGAAATAGTTTCATGGCTGACAGTATAAGGCCGAAATGTTTGGCCTCAGTTGATATATCCAGTCCTGAGATGGGCGCTTCGACAGCGTCTGTGGGCTAACTTGAAGTAATTTTGAAGGATATCAACGGGAGAGATTTAACAGAGGTTACCTCCTTCAGCTATCTCACCAGGAAGCATCGTTTTAACAACAGGCAATCGAAAGGGATGAAGGTGCCAAAGCAGGCCAGCCAGAATCGGAAAGGTAGGATACGCCTTCATCAACCTGAAACCAGTTTGCAAACCTTCTATACTCAGCCAGTACAAAGAACAAGATTCGGATTTTCAATACCACTGTCAAGTCGGTCCTTCAATACGGCTCAGAAGGGTGGCTGGCGTGTCACAAAAAGGATTTCTCATAGGTTGCAGACTTTTATCATAAGCTGCCTTCACTCCATACTGAAGATCAAATGACCAGAAAGAATTAGTACCAAGAAACTGTGGGAACAAACCAACAGACGACAGCCGATTTCCCAACAGATATGTAGGCGAAAATGGAGATAGGTTGATCTGGTATACGTTGAGGATGCCGTCAAATGACATCGTGCGAAATGCAGGCCATTGCTCGAGTGGAATCCAAAGGGGAAGCGATGAGTGGGTCGTCCTAGGATGACATGGAGGAGATCGTGTCAAGAGGAGATGAGAGAGTTTGGGCATTCGTGTACCCGGCTGAAGAGGATGGCAGAAAATAGAATAAAGTGTAGATGTGTTGTTCAAGGCAGCCCTATGTTCCACTCGGACCCCACGGGAACAATAATAATAATAATTTTCTTTGGATGGTGACTAGACAGTGAAATCCAGAATGCGGGTTTTTGTGGTCGTATTTACGACTCGTCAGCTGGTTGTACATGCATTACCAGTGAGCTAGTGATACTGTTCCCACTGGGACCTGGAACTAGTACCCGTTGTTTCAATTTTTTCCTTCACGTTCCCCAGTGGAACATAGGGCTTCAAGCTAGTGGCTTGAAGTTTCTGTAGTAGTGTTTATTTTACAGGATGGGGTTGCTAGCCTCATGCCCAACCTTTCCTCTTCACTAGCATTATTTCTAGCTTAGCGAGGTAAAGGAGTGCGTCGGCCGGGGGTCGAACTCCAGACCATGTGCATGGTCGGCGAACGTCCTATGCCACCAATGCACCGTTGTTTCAAATGCCGAGGTGTTATCCACCAGACCACCTCTGGGCTACACGTCAAAAGGAGGAATTGAATTAGAAACAAGTTATAACTAGCAGCAGTTGTACAAGAGATGCCTCTCGTAAATGAAGTAGTGTTGTGTTTTCTGAGCTAGTTGATTAAGTTGCAAAGCTTTCATTGTCCTCATTCTAAACAACACCGCTTCAACTCATACTTCAATATCAAGTGGATCTGTTTCTGAATTTTCCACGAGTGATGGTGGGTGCGTACCGATGAAGAGTCCCAAACTAGGACGAAACAGCTGTCCAGTACTCCCAGGTTTTTCAATGGTTCTCTAACTGATGTCAGCTCATGATGAAATCCTGTAACCAATCAAATCCCTACAAACCAACACTTGAAAGTGATATAATTGTTTCTCCTGACAACCACTGTCATGACTGGTTAATTTACAGCTTTGTTGGTGATTCTTATGGACTTCTTATATGATTTATTTTTTTTTGCCAGTTAGTAAATTTGAAGACTAGAAGTGATGTGTTTGTTAATCGCTAATTTCTCATCTGAGTGCCAGTCTTCGAGAAATTCCCTGGCATTTTTCATCTTTCCTCTGTTTAAAATTTCTAAACTGTCTTAATCAAACTGGTGTCCATAATTGTCTACATGCATTGATATGAAAAAATACATATCATGCCTTTTCACAGCCGATTAAATTTATGTTACTGGATTCTGAGTCAAAGGGGATGCCCACTTTGACCAATGCAGTGTTTATTGCAACTTATTTGGTGAATGGTACGGATATTATCTTCTTTATCTATTGGATCCTTCGGCCTGAAAAATATTAAGTGAATTGAATGTTTGGAGGGTTCCATGATGATCTGACATCAGTTAGAGAACCAATGGGAAACCTACAGTGAGTACTGGACAGCCAGGTGTTTCGTCCTAGTTTCGGACTAACTCTTCATCAGTACGTACTCACCGCCGGAGTTCGAACCCACGACCTTCTGGTTACAAGGTGAGCTCGTAGACCGCTAAGCCACTGGAATCCGATCCGATCCAATGACCAGTGCATGAATTCGAACTTCCACCAATTCGTGACAGTGCGCGTCCACTTCACAATGTCTTCTTCGATGAGTTATTACCTCACCTTCAACCTGATGTAGCCTATTAATATATGTGTAAAACTTGAGCACTGTTGTAGTAAGTAATTCCATATTAGTTTGTTTATTAGATGTATCACACAGTGAAGAAACAGTATTATTTACTGGAAGACGAGGTTTCGAACAAAATTTATTTTTCATAATCATATCAATCATAATCACACGAATTCGAAACTTGAGTTTTATAGTTTTCTTTGTCCTCTCCTATTTGGCGTCATAGGGGTAGTAGAATTTTGCAGATATCCAACTGGACAGGTGTTGAATCATTCCTATTACACATATTTGCAGTTGATTCGATAAACAAAGCTTCTGTTGTCAATCTCTCCCTCCACCCAGCTGTTACATTAGATTCCAAAACTGTCATCTTATCCCATCCATCCTATCGCATGGTTGTGTGTGATTGTATGTAGTGAGTGCTATAGCTGAACTACTCTCTAGATTTCTTATCTTATTCTGGTCAACTAATCTAGATTTTACTAGATTTTTACTCTCCGCTAGTGTGACTGACTAACACCGTTCTACTAGTTTGACCTATGTAATTGACCTGACAATCATTGCAGCAGGGTATTCGATAAACTAAATCGTTTTGTTTAGTTGGCTCCAAAGAATGACCTTTCAACCGAGAAAGCTTGTTTCTAATTGAGTTGCTGGGTGGTTTGAATGCTACTTTTACTCAAGTTTCAAAGTCGTGTGATTATAACTGATGAAATGGTTATGAATAGTAAATTTTGTTCGAAACTGTGTCATCCAGTAAACATTAATACTGTTTTGTTGTGTGTGATACATCTAATAAACAAACTAATATGGAACTGCTGTAGTCTACTTGTCACGGCTTCCCACTAGAACCGCAGGTTAACTGCCTGAATAGTGCTAGCTGCTAGTGAGCATCAGATTAATTTTCATGATGAAATCCTCCAACCAATCCAGAAAAATCCCTACAAAAGCAATAATTGAAGTGACTGTGTTGGCTTGTGTTCTATGTCTGTTTCATAATCTCATTTTATTGGTGTCTTTAATAATATAAATGACGGCTGAAAGATGACTGGCGATAGATGCATCACCTGTATCGAATCGTGGTTACACCCAATATGATCTACTGACACCAATCATAATACATTTGTTGAAAAGACCATTTAGATATCACTGATGATAATAATAATCTAAAAATTCTGACACATCTCTCTATTTGTTTTTTCCATGTATTAAAGATACACTAGGATCATGAGTTCTAACTACTCCTATGCATTTCAGTGAAAGGTTCATTTAAGTAGTATATTATCACTGTATCTTTATTCAAGAAATCCTATTTAATTCACGTATAATCCCCATCCAGGCATTAATGAAAACAAAACATGTAGAACAGTGAAGAGTCTCTTTTCGGCGGCAAATTCATTTTCATAGCTGTACAATCGCAAATATATATGTGTTATTTTGTATGTATGTGTACAATAAGTTTGTCAAACAAAAATACAATTGTTATTTAAACTAAACAGGTGAAGATTGGTAATTGGAGTTACGTAATACAAAATCGGTCAAGAAAGTTGGGTATTGATGAAATTAGGGTAGTAACAAAGGTGATGAGTTGTCACAAACAGTTGTTAAAAAGAAGTTATGTAATGATATGAATAGTTTGATGAGTGAGTTTTACTCAGGATACGCATAGGAACAAAGTAGAGAAAACGAAATAAGATGAGAGTTCTAAATGAATACAAGAATTATAAGCAATTAAAGAACAGGCAAAGAAACAAAATTAAGTCATCAAAATCAAATCAACAAAGTTGTTACCAAGACAGTAGAAGTGGTTGAGTGATCCTCTTCTGTATGCACAGCTCCGGTTTTTCTATGTGAATGGCCAGAGCTTCAGCGATACAAAGAAGGCGAAACCGTATTGCCTTTGATAGGTTGTTCTTGACTCTGTAGATTGCTTTGAAGCAGAAGGCGTTTGTTGAAATGGAATGATCAGTGTTAACCGGGTGAGTGTTCAATTATCGCACTCCTTATTGCACCCCTATTGCCTTTTCACAAGAATGCTGGATAGGGTGCTCGTCGAACGACCGATGTCCCTGACTCCACAGCAGCAGGTGAACTGATATATGCACAGAGAAGTGGGATCTTGTCCTTGAGGCTTCTGCAGATCAGCGGGCAACTGGAGAACACTATTCTTAGCGTTGCTGCAAAGAATGTTCTTCTCAGAGATGATGTGATCCTTTTCTTGAGAATATCCTATTTATTATTTTATGATAAATAAAAAATTTATCTTTTAATTTTTAGTTAACAGAAAAAGATGAAAAATTGAATCTACTGGAGAAAGAAAAACAACAATGGCGTATGGAATTGGATATACAGAATGTAAAATTACAAAATGCTACTTCATTATTAGAAGATGTAAGTCTTAGCAATTTATTACAATTTCATGTGAATTCTGTTTCATTGAAAATTTTGATAATATATGTATATATGCAGAAATATCAACACCCGCCAAATGCAAGATGATTCTACAGGATTGGACTACACCGACTCCTAGATTAGAAATAGGAAGTGGTTGGTGGAGCGTGTTGACCACTTCACTTATTTGGGAAGTTGCATCAGCCCCAACGGGCTGATCTCTGACGAGATCTCAGCACGGAAACAGAGGGCTCGTTTCGCATATGCCAGTTTACGCCATTTCTGGGTAAGTAGACGTGATATCCGGCTGGCTGTTGACTAAAAGGGAGGGTGTACTGCTCAGCAGTCCGCTCCGTCCTCCTTTATGGCTAGCTGTGAGACCTGGCCATCGAGAGTGGAAGACATGAAAAGGTTGGCTAGCTGTCTTTGATCATAGGTGTCTGCCTGCTATCTCTGTGTGAAGTGGTATAATGAAGTGAGCAATATTGAGGTTAGACGTTGGTCGATTGCTAGGTGAGGAGGGGAAATCAATAGACGAGTCTGTGAAGCTACATCGATTGACTGAGATGGTTAGGACATGTGTTACGTATGCCTAGTCATCGCCTTCCTCGACCAACGGGCAATGTTAGCTGATATAGGGTCAGGCTGGGAAAGAGCTAGTGGCGGTCAAAAGAAAACATGGCACCAGTCAACGAAATCTACAACAGTTAGTCTGAGCCACGTAGGTAGGTGTAGACTTCCTGGTTGGGTTCCTCGGGACGGTAAAAACCAATGGTAGGAAACAATTGGTGACATTGCTCAAAATCGTTTTCAATGGCTGGCGCAGATACATCCACTCCTTGTGACTTATGATTTCCAATAATAACGAAACTGTTTTGTTCTTCGTTATTACTAATCCTTTGACTCACACCTCTGTTTACTGTGTCTAATATGCATTTCTCCTACTTCCTTCTTTTGCTTTGTGTTCTACATGGAGTGTGGCGACTTGAACTGCCACACATATGTGCAAAGTTCTATGTCGAAAACAGACAGACAGACAACACCTTTATCAGCTTTGAATTCGGATCTCAAGCTTTCAACACTAAGGGATACGTATTTAAGTGTTGTTTTGCAAGGATTTGATCGATTGGTTATAAGACTTCATCATGAATTGACATCGGTTAGAGAACCATTGGAAAATCACAATCATAGAGCACTGAACATCTCCCTCGTCCTAGCCTGCGACTCTTCGGCAGTAAGCACACACCACTCGTAGACCAGTGCTAGTGGTTGAATGGTCTACGAGCTGGCTTTGTGACCCGAATGTTTTGGGTTCGTGTGTGCGTCCTGCTAAAGAGTCCCAGGCTAAGGAGAAAGAGCAGTCCAGTACTCTCTGAAGGTTTTCCAGTGGTTGTCTAACCGATGTCAGCTTGAGAATAAGTATTTTGTACATGCAACCTGAGGTTATAGAGTTTCAACCAGAGCTATCATCAGTAGATAGATGTATGGCATCCCTTGAATTTGATGACTGAATGTTCTACAGCTGAATTTATCTGCATTACGCTGATATTATCAAGATGGAAAGCATGGAAGCATTCAGTTATCAAGTTCTCGAGCTTATGTGACTTAGTAACAAAGAGTATCCTCATTTATTGATTGTTTTATATAGAAACGTGACAGATTATTTTGTTTCTCTTGAAAATCCATCATACATGCAGAACTATCACAAACAAATTGCATCAGCTTTGAATTCAGATTTCAGTCTATTTAGCACTAATGAATAACTAACTATTTACAAGTCCCCTGAGGGTAGGTGCAGGTTGGAAAAGAGTAAGTGGTGCCATGCCAAACAAAAACATGGCCTCATCAATCCATGAAATCCTTGACAGTTAAACTCAGTCAGGTAGGGAGGGAGATGCAGACTTCCGGGTTGGGGCCCGCCCTCGGGACTCCAGGAATCAATGGCTGGAGACAATAGGTGACATGGTTCAAAATCGTTGTCAATGGCTTACGCAGATGTATTCAGTCTCTGTAATCTTTCACATTGCTTTCTACCATTACTCATTCTGTTTCACTGTTGTACTTGTCAAAACTCTATTGATTCTCTTCACTCATTTTCTTGTCTACCTTTGTGTGGTATTTGGAACGTGGCAACTGGAACTGCTGCACTTCGGTGCCGAGTTCTATGTTTAATCCAGACAGACATAACTATTTACAAGAAGTAGTTTGTAGGGATACCTGTTAGAGAACCGTCGGAAATCATCAGCGAGTACTGGGCAGCTATACCATTCCACTGCTTGGGACTTACCAGTAGTACGGACCCAATGGCGTTCGATGCCGTGACCTTTTGGTTACCGGTTAGGCTAGTAGACCATTCAACTCCTTGGACATAACGCAATGACTAGCCTCTGAATTCTAACCTCTGCTAATTCGTGCGTGACTACCAGACAGTGTGATCGGCGAGTATTTATCCCTACACTCCCGATGTGGTGAACCCCACTCCCAATGAGTCCCGAACCGGGACGAAATAGCTGTCCAGTACTCTGTAAGTTTTCAGCAGTTCTCTAAATGATATCAATCCACCACAAAAACTTCAAAAAGCATATATTGCATGTGATCTGAGGCTATAGAATTTCAACCAGCGCTATCATCAGTAGATTGATGTATGACATCCCTACCACTGAATTTATCTGAGTTACGCTGATAAAGTATCATTTTGGAAAGCACAGAAATATTCGGTTGTTAAGTTCTAAAGCTTATATGACTTACCTATATAAGAAGTGTCCTTATTTATTGATTATTTCGCCTAGAAATCTCTTAAGGAACAAAGAAAACTTCTATTGACTTTTATACTTCCAAATATTCATCTATAAAGTTTATCTATTGAAACTAGAAGACTTGTTCTGTGTTCCCTTCCCCTGCTTCAGTCAATTGGTTGATGGAATCCCACTAGGATATGCATTTCGTCCTATTTAGGACTCGCCATCTGGATGTACCTGGATCCCCCAATGAGTGATGGTGTTCTCACCGGGTCTCGAACCCGGTGCCTATAGCCTCAAATTCCAAAGCGTTATCTACTAGACCACCTAGGCCACGGGAGCCACGTCTTGTTCAACGGGTCTAAGATCCATCCCTTCGGTTCAGTCAATCGACGGGAAATTCCAAATTGAATTGAAGTAATCAAGGTTGAGTTAGTTGAGCGTATACTGATCTCAACACTTTTATTCTCTCCTACATGGAGGATTTCATCATGAGTTGACATCAGTTAGAGAACCACTGGAAAACCTAGGAGTACTGGACAGCCAGCAGTTTCGTCAGCCTAGTTTGGGACTCTTCATCGGTACGCACCCATCGAGGTTCAAACCCAGGACCTTCTGGTTACAAGGCGAGCTCGTAGACCATTAAGCCACTGGGACCCGATCCAATAGTCCTTTAATTCGAACCCCGGTGCGTTCGTACTGTTGAAGAGTCCCAAACTAGGATGAAACAGCTGGCTGTCCAGTACTACCAGGTTTTCCAGTGGCTCTCTAACTGATGCCAACTCATGATGAAATCCTCCAACCAATCAAACAAAATCCCTACACAACCAATACTTGAAAATATTCTCTATTACTTTTTCTACAATTCCTGTTTATCATTTTAAGATTTTATAGCTCAGCTGACTTTGTGAATTTGATTTATGGTAATACCAGTCCCCTCAGGTTGCCACTGAGTGGTTCGGCTGTCTGAGGTTAGTCAAACAGGGCACACTGCTGATTAGCTCAACCCAGCACGAACCAAACGGCTTTACGGTCTTTAGATCACCTCAATCTGGCTGGCTAGCAAACACTACTGGTTGATATGAGTGTTGGTGTACAACTACTCATCTCAGTAAATCAGTAGTATACAGTTTTGTGCAGTTCTCTTTGTTTCAAGTATACGCTACATGAACCCATATGGATTAGACACGTGTTACCCACGGTATGCCATACCATCGTCTTCCTTTTCAAGCAGTCCCAGCTGGTATAGGATTGATTATGCTGGAAGAGACTTTGGGATGGTCAGGTCAAAACACGAAGTCTTTGATTGTTGGCTTGAGACACATGAAGAGGTGTACATTATTTGGCTGGAGTCCCGAATGCTCTAAGAACCAATGATTGGTGACTGTTATCCTCTCCAACGTACATTTTCACTGCATTACAGTTTCTTTGTATGCGTTGGACTACGATTGTGGTCCTGAGTTCGATTCCCGACCGATACACTCCTAGATTTCGCATGGATGGTTGGCAGCCAACTCGGTAAGAATGGAAGGCTGGTCACGTGGCTGGCAACCCATCCCTTAAAAAACATCACCTCTGCCATCATAATTTCAAAAATCAATCGTGAAGCCCTATACAGTCAGACAAAAACAAGGTCTGTTTATCTGGGGAACAGGCGTAAGGCCATCTTGAAGACGTAGAGTTTGAACGCTGGGGAATGCTTGACTAGGTATGGCATCTGGGGTAACTTTTTGAGGATGGCCGTTGTGTGTGTGAGTGCATGTGTCCTAGATTATTGCAGTCCTGGCACCGGTGTTGCTTATACGGGCAGAATTTAATGAAATCTCAAGCAGCATAAAGCCAGTAGGAAGATGGAAGTTTTATCTTTGAGCGTCAGCTGCTATTGCCTGAGTAGCTGGACAATAGACGTTTGAGATAAGACCAGGGTGTATGGGGCCAGAGGCTGGTGTTGAAGTTTAGAGAGGTTTAGCGAACTACACTGACTTCAAGACAACTTCGGTCTCCCAACTGGAATAAACTGGTTGTTCCAGAATTTGGTTCAAGTCGAAGGAGAACCAACAACTCCATCAAAAACCATAACAGAACTACTCAATCTTAGCACCAAAATTCCATACTGAAATTTTAATGTATGTGTAAAACTTGGTCACTGTGGTAGTAAGTAATTCCATATTAGTTTGCTTATTAGATGTATCACACAGTCAGTGAAACAGCATTATTTACTGGATGACACAGTTTCGAACACAATTTATTATTGTTCATAAC